TGTTTGTTTGTTTGTGTACATGTTTAAAATCACGATGAGATTCATTTCATTGGTAAACAGAGCCCTGAAGCTTCTTTGATTTTTAATTCTTTGTTCATATTTTGAAAAGTGCTTCATCATTTATTATTAATTTTGCTGTTTTAAACGACAACATTAAAGAACAGAAAAAACAATATTGTAGTTCCAATTTGGCACATAGTTGAATTTCACAGTACTGTAAAATAAACCAAATAAATCACAGAGATTCATCTTTTTAAAAAAAGAAGAATCCTCAACATGAAATTCTGACTCACAGAAAAATTTATTTTCATTCAACTTTCACGCCTGGTTGAGTAAATACGACAAGTCATACCACAAAAACAAAAATATCAGCAGCGTCTAATCTGAACAGAACAAAATTCTGGACTTTCTCGATGGTACTAATTATAATATTACAGGCTTACAAGTAAAATACTGTCGAGTAAGACATAATTAAATATTATCACAAAGCAAAATTAAAACCTCAAAGTGCTCAGAGCGCCACAGATAACTACAAAAACTAAATGTTTTTATTACTAAAATGTTGTTGTTTACACTTTTTCAGACTGTAGTTATCTGTCATCTGATTCCCGAGCTTCTGCAAAAAATATGTGAAACAAAAACTTCGTGACTTACCCGACACAAAGATGCCGACGCTCAGTTCAGCTGTGAAGCATCAAAACTCTCCATCTGATATAAATGTGATCGTTCCTCCTCCCACGCCGATCAGAAGGTCCTCGTGTAACGTCCATTTGATGCTCGCAGTCATTTAAAGTGAAGATGACTTATTCAAATGTTATTACAGATGCAAACAGACTGAAGAGATAGTGCGAGATAAATGAGGTCAGGAGTGTCTTCTTCGTGTCTCCCGTACCTCTTTATTAAAGTGCGTTTCAAACCAGCACATCTGCTGCATCATCTGTCAGTAACCATGGAAACGGTTGGAAACTTCGGTGTCGTCCTCTGAACTGAAAGCAGCTTTTTGGGTGTTTTTACACACAAAATCTTTTTTTCCTGAGAACTTCAGTGATATTTGAATATTATTATAATTATGATAATTCTGTTGCAGGAGCGTTCAGGCTCGGTTCCTCCTCTAAACCAATCAGTGATGAGCAGGACGAGGATGCGGCCTGGGACAATTTACATCTCAATCCTTATTTTAATGGAAACACAAAAGGCTGAAACAACAACAAATTAATTAGACCTTCAGCTGTTTCAGTTTATTCAAACTTTATTGTTTTTAAAACTTCTCGTAATTTGTCTCAAACCTTCATTTTCAGCCAGCCTGGTGCCGAAAGTCCTTCCATATTTGTCTGATTGTTTGTTCTTGTGACCGAGGACCTTTCAGGTGGTGGCTCCTCTTCCACACTCCTTTTGTTTTGTT